TGCTATTACTTACAACAAATAATTCCACTTAAAACAGATTGAAATGTTAAAATTACACAGCAAAGTTCTCCAAGTATACAATTTTTCCCTCCTTTTTTCTATTTTCTCATGTCTATCCATATCAGATAGACAGGATAACCAATTCCAAAGGGAAAACAAGGGCGCTGACTGCTACGGGGGGTGGGACAAGAGGATGTAGGAGAAAGGGAGGGGGAAGCCAACAAACCTAGGGACAAGGGAACAAGAGATACAAAATCCATGGCCAGGAGGGCGTAGAATGCCTAGTGGGGGGTGATCAAGTGCAATGTAGCTGAGAGAAAGTACTGAGAGTTCAATGAAGGGCGAACATGAGAGTGGGACAGGAGGAAATTTAAAGAGATAGAGGAAAACTAGGAAGCAAAAGACATTTATAAAAGTATAAATATAGGTATGCACATACGTAAATATATAAAAATATTAATATGGATATAGGTCTATGTACATATATTTAAATGTTAAGTATTAAGGTAGCAGATGAGCATTGGGTCTCTACTCAAGTCCTCCCTCAATGCAAGAACACTTTGTTCTAATAACCTGGCATTCTGTGATGCTCACCTTCCTGACATGATCGCTGAAGTCAAAATGGGTACATAAGCAAATGTGGTGAAGAAAGGTGGTGTTGCCTGGCTATTAAAAAGAGTGTCTAGAACCTTAAAGTCTTGAAGTTAAACAAGTAGCCATGTAGCAAAGAAATAACAGGCCCACATGGAAGAAGCACACCAACCTGTGTGATCATGAGGTGTCAACAGGATCAGGTATCAAGTACCCGAAAACCCAAAACATACAAATATATTGATGCAAAAGATGGGGACCGGAGAGGTGTCCCAAAGCCCATCTGTAGACAGTTGGACATTCCCCTCACAAGAAGGGTCACGAAGGAACGAGTCAGCCAGGGTGCAGCATAGCATTAAGAGAACACACAGCATTCCTCTAGTTCTTTAATGCTTCCTCCCCCCCACCCATCATGACCCCAGTTCTACTGTATCTAGATGGTCTTAAAGCATACAATTAGAGAATATAGGTTTGTACAGAATTTCCTGTTATATGCTAGGGACATTATATTAGAACCTATGAGGGACCAAAGAAGGAAGCAAGGCAACAAAGATGTTGAGCTGAGAAAAATGTATACCAAGAGAAAATAAAAAGACTTGGCACTGGATGGTAAGTTGAGAATTAGACTCTAGAAATCCATAAATTGGAGAGGTCATTGAAGGCTATTGTGGTCAACGAAAGCTCCCTAGAGAAGCTTCAAAGAGGAATAGAATGAAATGGAAAACTAGAAGGGAGTACTTTAGGTAATGGGATGCAAAATTTGATAAATCCTACTTCCTTTATTTGTCAATAAGGAAAATAATCTTGGAAAGGTAGGTTGAAGCTAAGAGGTCAAGGAATGACAACCCAGGCAGCTCAGGTTCTGTCTTAGGAGGTCTGCCCATTGAATAAAGGAATGACCTTAAGGAGATAATGTCCGGGGCAGTTGATTTCCCTGGTGCCAGAACAATATGAGCTTGAAGAGGAGGGAGTTGGGGCTTCATCTCGAAAATGCCCAGGCGTCCTTGCAAAAAAGCTAGCAAATACTTCTGTGAAGGAATTGCTGATTGTTACCTAAAATCGATTTTACTTTATTCCAAGCCTCCCAATTTCCTTAAACATAGATTACTTTCAAATTACTGTTGTTTTCCGCTTTGCCATTCTTTGCCTACCAAGTCTCCAGATACTCGTGTGTAAGTCCAAAATAAAACTGGTTTCAACAGATTTCACTTTTGGCAGTAGGAAGGATACTTAAGGAAAGATTATATATCATAAATAATTATCAAACCCAAATAGATCCTTTCTAAATTAATATACTTTGATCCATCCTGGCACTCCTGCAGTATTTTAGTTTTAACCTGGCACTGTACTCAGGAGTGCCGTATAAATACTGAACATTAATGTAAGTGCTTGACAAATAGAACATTCGCCATGTGATCATATGTATTGGTGTTCTCAAAATTCACTGCCATCTAGTTGATTCCAACTCATAGTGACCCAACAGGACAGGGTAGAACTAACCCCCTGTGGGTTTCAGAGACTAGAACTCATTACGGGAGTAGAAAGCCTTGTCTTTCTCCCTTGGAGCTGCTAGTGGTTTTCAACTGCTAACCTTGTGGCCAACAGCCCACAATGTAATCATTATGCCATTGGTGTTCCATATTTGGTCTTTAAAATAATAAATGTATCATAAATTCTAGGGAAAAAACTTGGAAGT